TCACAAGCTAAATTGCATAATTATCTAGCATTTAGTGATGTTATTAGAATTCCTTGATGTCTGCTTCTTCTCTGGGATGTAAGGTCAGAGGCTTACTGTAAACTGAGTCACTTTTGATGTTTGTAGATAATGCTGTCATCATAAATTTAAAATTGCCATAATAAAATATCTTAAACTCCATTCTTTTTTATTTTGTTGTGGGAGAGATCATTTTAAATAAGGAAATATGCAAATTTGGGTAATTTCTCTATTACAACTAACTGATATAGTTCTGACGGCTGAATGGTGCAGTTCCAACAATCCAACTCTAGATGTCTCTGAATCCAAAGAAACTAACATTTCACTGTAGAATCTCAGTTTGTCTTTAAGTAACATTCAAATTAATACCTATACTGTCTATATCTAATAAGTGTAACTGAACATGAAGACCATGAAAGATTATTTTAACCCTGATCTTAACCTTGACACAAAACCTACACCTACTCCTAAACCAAACCCTGTAGATCATATATAGGGGACCATCAAAATAAAGCATGACACAATTAACTTTGGTGTTGTCTTCTATAAAGAAGATGAGGCTCCGGTGGCCCTGATCATTAACAATTAGGAAATGGAAATTGTAAACAGTTTCAAGTTTCTCTAAAATTGGAGAGTGATGTAAATTAATCTTAATGTTCTTCTCTCTCATTCAAATGAAATGTGGAGAATGTTTTGGAAATAGTTTTAATGTAATTAGTTGCTAATTGTTGCTGAAAACACTGAAGCAAATGAAGTTTCTGTCTCTCTGCCAGTGGAGTTGGTATCATGATAAATTGTAAATGATAAATTGAATTAAAGGCCTTTTGTCTTCAGGAAATGTGTCCTTCTAACGTTGTGCCAAGAGCAGTTTCTGTGCTGTGCTGTATCAGTTGTATTAAGAGATGTGGTCTTCACTGGCTGCCTCATTAAATGGCCTGGCATTAGTCTGTAGAATAACTTTTTGGTTCTGTATTTCTGCAACACAAGTAATGACATTATTCTGGCCTGAGTCACTCAAGGACAGTTGTAGATTCAGTCCAGAGAATGGCCTACAGGAGATGCATGGTCCACTGTAATTGGTGCACACTAACTAACTCAAAAGTCTAGATGCTGCTATTTTCTTGGTGTGACTCAGATCCTTTCCAGGACAAAACAAATGTGTATTTGAAAGGTAGAAGGTGGTGTGGAGGCACATGTAAATTCCAAGTGGTGAATTTTTACATTTTCCATTGCCATGCAAAGCATCAGTTCACCAGACCTTTAGGTAAGATGGTTCGTTCAAACAAATGTCATACTTACTTGTCATACTTTTCACAGCCTCTAGTGTTTAACAGCTCCTGTGGTCATCAGTGAGCTTTATGGGTTCAGCTCTGTGCTAAGAACAGTTGTCCAGCAATTGACATGAAGAGAGCTGAGAGTTAGGCGACTGGGTTTGATGATTTTACAAGTGGAAAAATATTTGCCTTTGCTGCAATAACAACTGATTTGATGTCGGCTCCTGTCTGGATAAATGATGTAACTAACTTGGCTACCTTACACTCATCTTCAGCCTTCTGCAGATAACAACTTGGTCTTGGATAAGGCCTTTGTCCCACCTCAAGAAGTGTCACTGTCTGTCCTCCAAAACAACTGTTAGTGTGTGTCCCAGATCCTGACTGGGACACATACTAACAGACACTAGAAGGCAGGAGATGAAGCTGGATCTACTAAATTTGAATGATTTCTTGTGTTGCCGCTGTGTTTCCTGCAGAAGAGATGTAGAGCAGTTGGAGGAAGGTCTTGATGAGGCCCCAGTTGATAACCGATCAGTTGTGCTGGGAAGTGATGATGTCTGTGAGGCCATCCAGTAAGACAGGGACTAGAATCAGTGAAGATCCCTTTATTAAGAATTTCTCCAAAATACATTGTATAATATAATGTATAATAGTAACAGTGTGGTTGATCCTTTGATGCCACAGTCATCTGTGGCCAAGAATTCAAGAGAGTATAAGTAGCCTCATTCTCTCTGGGTTAGTAGGAAGCCCCTCACTCTTTTCTTTCACTCAGCAGGAGTGTAGCGTGGCATCTGTTTGCTGATGTTGAGCTGTCCTCCACAGTGAGCTGTCTGATGACTCTGCATTATCAGCAGTTCAGTACAATAAAGTTATAGTGACTGGCTTTACATACATCATCACAATTGCATATTAGCCATCACTCTCCCAGGTTAGAACCCATCAAATCTAACTGAGACCCTCAGACATCACCACATTCCGGTCATCCTTCCTGGTGATGTTCTGTCAAGCATGTAATTCATATATTTGTGGGCTTTTACCTTCCAGCTTATCTTCAGTGAGTGTAAAGCTATTAAAGAACTTGTTTTAAGTGATTTGATCACATTATTTTTATGTGAACAGAAGTGCTTATTATAACACTCATAGTTTTGAGAGGAGGAACCTTCAAGTCATCAAATATGCATTAAACAAGCAGCTAGAAAAAAAGCTGTGACTTTTTCCAGCCAATGAGGTTACAGTCATGTGCTCTGCAAGCTAATTTGGTGATTTTTTCAGTTGCTTCTTCTCAGATTTACTTCAGTGAAGATCTGTCTCTTTTTTGGTGATGGCTCTGATATGGATTCTCATCTTATCTCTCTACATAGCAGGTAAATCTAACAGCTCTTTACAAGAAAATTTTCGTTCATCAATTACTATTAATTTTAGGTAATATTATTAATTGTTCTTGATGAAATATCATCCGCTAGTTTCTTTATCAGCTGAGCTCTGATCTAATCCTGTTTTATAGATCCTTTTCAGGCTGTGGATCTTACTCAGGCGTCATTTGTCTCAACTGAGTCTGGTAAAACTGTTACTCTACACTGCAAATTTGTGGAAAAGTCTGTAACAAAGTCTTGGGTTTGGTACAAACAAAGAGCAGGACAGGAACCTCAGGAAGTGGCAGTGAAGTTAACTGACAAAAAAACAGCTACTTCATCATTCAGATTCAAAATAAACCAGAGTTTTAATCTGACTATTGAGCAAACTACTAAAGATGATGAAGGAATGTACTTCTGTGGTGTAGGAGACGGGAACACCATTACATTTTCTCACGGCACATTCTTAGCCGTGACAGGTAATAAATGACCATTTTACATTTAATTACCATACTCACGTGCTTGTCTAAGTAAAGAAAATATATGTACTAAGATCTTACAATGTCTTCATTATATTGGCCAGATAAACCTCAGTTAGGCATATCAGTGCTCCAAACACCAGTACGGGGGTCATTTTCTCCAGGAGAGTGGGTGAACCTGCAGTGCACGGTCCTCTCTGAGATCAGAGCAGCAGAACTCCGAGTGCTCTGGTTCAGAGCTGCTGCAGGACAATCCTTTCCTGAAATCATTTACACTCATCAGAGCAGCAGCAGCCGTCAGTGTGAGATCAGCTCTTCTACACACAGTTGTGTGTACAACTTCTCCAAGAACATCCTCGACGACCACCATACTGGAACTTACTACTGCGCTGTGGCTGCTTGTGGGAAGATCATTGTTGGCAATGGAGCATCAGTACAATTTCGTAAGCAATATTTTAGAAGTTTAAATCTATTGTTCATTGATCATTTGCATGATGGCATAACAGAACTGACAGTATTCTTCAGCTGCATTGAATGAATAAATTATGTTGTGCATGACATCATTTAACAGTCTTTACGCTCCTGAGAAAATGACATTACTTGCTAACACTATTTTAAAGTCTGCTTCTTAACGACTACTAAACTATTAGCAAGTAATTAATGATGTCGTACTAAATAAAACATCATTAGTTAGCAAGCTTAGAATTTTTGTACACTGTAAAAAGTGGCTCGTCAGATCTACCTAAAAAATTTACTTCATGTGGTAACAAATCAATTAACTAGTATATTCAACTTAAAAAACTACATTGAAAGAATCGCTCATTTAAAGTATTTATTCAGGTTGAGTAAAATTAATTTACTTGTTAACACATGAGTGGGATAAAACCTGAGAAACTATATTTATATGAATGTAAGAATTACATTTTGAAGTATGAAGCCAAAAATATACTTGAATGAAAGTAAAGTATAAACTGTTAAACATTTTCTAGTAAATAAAAGTAAAAACTAGTTGTTTTGACCAAATGCATGAAAAGTAGTCTTTGTTCAGAGTGCGTCAGAGAGGTGGCATCTAATGAGCAGTACAGGGCCTCCAAAGACAAAGTAGCAGAGTTGTGAGCAGTTTCATTTTATCATACATCATCTAAACCGCTTATCCTTCTGGGTCACGGTGGGGTGCTGGAGCCTATCCCAGCTGTCATTGGGCGGAAGGCAGGATACACCCTGGACAGGTCGCCAGTCCATCGCAGGGCAGACAGACAGACATACATATACAATCACACACACATTCACACCTAGGGGCAAATCAGCATGTCCAATCAGCCTGACTGCATGTCTTTGGGAGGAAACTGGAGTACCCGGAGGAAACCCACGCAGACACGGGGAGAACATGCAAACTCCACACAGAAATGACCCTGGTCGCCCGGCCGGGAATCGAACCCAGGCCCTTCTTGCTGTGAGGCGACAGCGCTACCCACTGCGCCACCGTGCCGCCCATAGTTTCATTTTATAAGGACATGAATTTGATTCAGTGTTTTAATAAAATCTACTCAAATGTATAGGAAAAACAAATTCTAAAAATTTTGAAGTGCATTCAGATTCTAAATGAAAATGGGAGGAGAATTTTATTTTTAACTTTAAAATATGTTAGTAATTCGGGTTAGTTAACCTTAAATAATGCCTGAATAAATATTGAATAACTTTGTGTTCAAGTCCTCCAAAATAATGTTTTCTTTTGGTTTGAATATTTGTGAACAGAAATGTACAGTATTTATTTATTTATTTATTTATTTATTTATTTATTTATTTATTTATTTATTTATTTATTTATTTATTTATTTATTTCAGAGGTGCCTGTGGATCCTGTTGTGATCTGTCTGGGAGCAGCTTTGGGAGTGTGTGTGGTTGTGATCTCTGCTCAAGCCTTTATAATCTGTAAAAGGAGAAACAGTGACCACTGCAGTGGTGAGTGGAGGATTTTACAGTCTTTTCTTTATGTTAATCACAGTGTTCAGTTCAGCTGGTTCCCTCACTAAGAACAAATGCCATGTGATAAAGTGTTACAGAAAGAGTTTATGCAAAAAAGAAAGAAGGAAAGAAAGAAAGAAAGAAAGAAAGAAAGAAAGAAAGAAAGAAAGAACACATGGATGTGGATATACAGTTTTATGCATTACATATCGCTGCTGTCGGAAGAAAACCTCGTTTTTCAGTTTTTGACTTGAATTAAAAATGCCTGTTGTCCTTCACATTGTGTGCAAATTTCATTAAGAATGGACCAAAAGAAACGTCCCAAAATGACTTGGAAAAAAGTCTGGTTCCACTGATTTACTTTAAAAGTAAAGTATGTTTTTACTTTCTCCTGTAAAGTTACCATTTTGGAGATACAAGGTTTTTTTTTTTATCCAACAACAGTGATATGCTTGTGTGACTGTACATTGAAATGTGGTGAAAGTAATGCAAATGTCATCTTAGCAAAATGAATGTTGCCTGATCCAAACGTCATGCTGTATATTCTGTATCCACCACAGTGAGAAAACAACAAGGCTCAGCAGCAGAGAACACAACCAGTCAGGTAACACCTGTGTTCTGTAACACTTTCAGAAGATGCTGATACTGTTTAATCCACACAGAACTTACTGAACCTTTCGTGTTCTTTCTCACAGACTGCTGAGAGTCTGAATTACGCTCCCATCCATTTCAAAGAGAACAAACCCAAAACTGGACGGGTGAAGAGAGAACAGCCTGAAGACATTATGTACTCTCAAGTGAGAAGTTCTAATGCTAAAGCTCATCGTTCTCATCGCTAGATCTCTTTCCTTTAGTGAGCAGTAGTGAAGTTTGGGGATGTTGTTATTTTACTGGGATGTTCAGAGCTGCACATGATCTCCAGGTTAGTTCTGTGATCTTCATTATCTACTTTTGTTATTATTTGTGTCTTATTTCTTTATTATTGTGTTATTATTTCTCTTAATTTTGGACTGTGTAGGGGTTTGTTGTTTCTGCTGATGTTTGCCAGGATCTACAGTGAAGTGCTGTAATTTGTTTAGGTCCCCATTTTGCTTAGAACTGGGTGAAAAATGTGCAGTTTAGGATGAACTTTCAGTTCTCTAAAGGAGTGTGTGAGGATATTTTTAGAATGAGTGGGGTCACTATAATCTTTCACCTGTAACAGACACACATGAGTTTACGCTGATTGCATCTGATATTGTGCACCATTTGTAGAAGTTGTATTTTTAGAGGCTCTCTAAAGGTGTTTTTTTCTTTGTGTGTGTGTTTGTTTACTTACAATGTGTTGGGAAATATATCTGTCTACATATTAAGCTGAATTTGTGTTATATCAGCCCTGAAACCCTGAAATGTGAACACAAGACTTTTTTCTGATTATATTTCTGCATGATTTCTAAATATAATAAAATGTTATATAATAGATAATTTACTGTTAACTGTCATCATAACAGAGATGCTTCATGAATGTAGAGCCACAATATTAATCACATAAAACCAAGAGTATCTATTTTTTTGTCTTCAAGACAGAGGCAAAACTTTGGTTTCTACCTGTTCATTTCTTCAAATTTCAGATCACATGTATAAGAATATATTTCACAATCCAGCTTCTTCTTTTTTTAATGTAATTGTAATTGAACAAATGCTGGCAATATTAAAAATAGAACTCAATTGATTTTAATAGTTAATTAGAGCCTGAAATGTTACCTGTTAATGTAGGCTAATAAAAATAAATTTTATTCCAAGTTAGTTTTGAGCCTTTGGTCCATTTATCATGACATTTTCACACAATGTATAGGGCAGCTTTCATAATATTTCTCACAAAATTTAGATGAAACATTATTATTATTATTATTATTATTATTATTATTATTATTATTTGTTTTTTAATGTTTTTTTTATTATTTATGTTTCTTTTTTGCGCCTTGACCTTGTATTCAAATGGTTAAAAAAATATCTGGTGAAATTCAGTTCATTCTCAATAGTGTTAGGGTTGGGTTTAAGGCCAAGTGTGAAAATAAAGGTGAATTTAATAGACAATGTGAGTTAAAGGTACTTAACAAATAATCTAAGTGTACTATCCAAATAAAGCGTTGTCCAAAATTAATCTGGGATGAGAGGAGACCCTCTAGAGTGAGAAGCTCTAATGCTGCTTCTCATCGTACATATTGCTAAATCTCTTTTCATTCAGGAGCAGAAGGGAAGTTTAGGGACATTTTCATGTTTCTGGATCATTCAGTGCTGCAGTTGAGCTCCACTTTAGCTTTATGATCTTTAATGCTTTATTCTGTTGTTTGTATGGTTTATCTATGGTAGATATATTATATTTCTGCCCATACTTGCCAGAATCTATTATAAACTGCTGTAAAGTCCTCACTGTTCTGTGTTTAAACTGAAAAATTGTCCAGCTTGAGTTCTCTGTAGGAGCAGTGTGAGTGTAGTGTTAATGATCTTTTACAAGTTTTCACACTTTTTTTCACACAAACTGTCGCAGGAGTTCAGACTGATGGTGTCTGATATGGTGAAGCCTTCATGGAACATGTGGCTGTGATGAGACGTTTCTAAGTCTTCACTCTTCACACTTCAGCCACTTGGAGAACTGAAACTTGTTTTGACAGTTGACAATATTTTTTTCACTAAATTTATATGGAAAATGAAAATTAATTATAAACATAAATCCAATACCATTTTAAATTACACACTGACTTTGACTCTGTCTGGATGTGAGTTTCTTTAATGCTGTTCTTTAATGTTTTTGTATAAATATTTTAGTAAATGAAATATCTAATCTATGAGCTAATATTGTTACAATTCTGGTACAGTTTTTAATAAAGGCATATGAATTTACTTCACTTGTTGGTCTTTTTTCACTTTTACCCCGACTAAACAAATATTTACAAAATCAAAAACAATCTGTTTTGTGCATGAAAGTAAACGTTATACACATATAGAATTGTTGTTATCTGACAGTGTAAATGAGCTTTTAAAACATAGGGCTCATATTTACTTCACTAATAATAAAATATCAAAAAGACATTAATATTTCCTTAAAGAATATGTGCAATTTGTAAATGTACCTGAAAAAGGTAGCATGAATGTTTCTTATAAAAATCGCAATTGGAGTATCAAAATCTAAATGGCACTGCAACAATATATATAGAAATACTTTGACTACAACAATGAATTAAAAGAAAATAGTAAATAAATTAACCAATAAAATGTTATGTTTGGATGCAGTGAGGCCTTTAAAATAAACAGGTATTCCTTCTATTGCTGACTGCAATACATTTTGAAATCAAACAGATTTCATATTTCTTGTGAAGAATATATAAAAAGACCATTGAAATGAACAAAACTTCTCTTCTTGCCTAATGTAGTTCTATAAGAGAAAACCACAGACAGGCATCTTTCAAAAGAAAAAGAATGTGTGTGTGTGTGTGTGTGTGTGTGTGTGTGTGCGTGTGTGTGTGTGTGTGTTGGCTGTGTAATTGTCTTTAAACACCCCACAGAGATCCTCTGCAGAGAACACACATTAATATTGCATTTTCCTGCTAATTTTAACCAATTTCTGTTTATTTACTGGGATTAACACATTAAAAAAATAGAACATTCAATATAAAAATGTGACATAATTTATCATTTATTTTTCCCAATATGTTAAATTCAGCAAATAAACAGTGACTGTGCATTAAAAAGTGCAGAAGTGTGTTCTCTGTAGAGGATGTGTATCTTCTCACTCACAAAATCAACAAAACCTGTAATCTGACCAGGTCTGCTAAAATTTTAACATTCAACTGTACAACAGGGAAGATGGAACTTTGATGACCAAAACTACTGATAATAATAACCAAATAGTGTTATAGGAGGCCTGACCAATAAAGGTTATTAATGAAGCTGACAGAAAGAACCATGTGACATTTTTCAGCCAATGATGTTTAACTAATGAAACCAGACAGCAAATACAGTTCATCGCTTCAGTCAGTTATTTCCTTTCAATATATATGTGTTGGTGATGATGGCCCTACACAGGATTGGAATTATCATTTTATATTTCTACAAGATATGTAAGTTCATCAAATTGCCAAACACCAAATATGTCATATACTGTAAATTCTGCTTGATATTTAATTCAAATTTTAAATATTAATTTAGACTGAACTTTGTTTTACAGATACTGCTCAAGCAGTGAGAAATTCAGAGCCGTTGGTCATCTCAGCTGAGCCCGGTGAAGCGGTCACTCTCAAGTGCACATTTGTAGATGACTCTAATAAAGATGTTAGGATGTGGTACAAACAAAGACTGGAGCATGTGCCACTGGAAGTGGGATCACAGTTAGAAGGAAAGTCGGCTGTGATTTCAGATCAATTCTACAAATCAAAAAGATTTAGAATGAACAGAATTGCGAGTGGCTTTTCTCTCAGTATTGAACGTGTCACTAAAGAAGATGAAGGAATGTACTTCTGTGGAGAGACTGGAAAGAAAACACTGGACTTTTCTACTGCTACATTCTTAGCGGTCACAGGTAACATGGTTGATTGTTTTCTGCTTCAGTTTTCTTTTTTTTATTTTTTTTATTCGGCTTCAGCAGCATATAAGGGTCATTGAACTGACTGTCCTTGTATATGAAATGTGCTATTTAAAGAAACCTACATTTTCAGTTCTAGAAATGTTTTTTTTTTTTCTCTGACAATGCAACATAAATAATTAACATCTATTACAACGGTTACTACTGAATACAAATTCCTACACTGTCTACATTATATTTTCCAGGATTATATTGCTACAATTTTGCTAGATTTTTAAAGCAGTCTTGTTTATAAATTACAGCCTATTAAAAGACTCAAAAGCCAATACACACAAAAATCTTACAGTGTCATTATTATATTAACCAGGTCAACCTCAGTTAAACATATCAGTGCTCCAAACTCCAGTATGGGGGTCAGTTTCTCCAGGAGAGTCGGTCACTTTGCAGTGCACGGTCCTCTCTGAGATCAGAGCAGCAGAACTCCGAGTGCTCTGGTTCAGAGCGGCTGCAGGACAATCCTTTCCTGAAATCATTTACACTCATCAGAACAGCAGCAGCCGTCAGTGTGAGATCAGCTCTTCTACACACAGCTCTGTGTACAACTTCTCCAAGAACATCCTCGACCACTACCATACTGGAACTTACTACTGCGCTGTGGCTGCTTGTGGGAAGATCATTTTTGGGAATGGAACAACAGTAGAACTGAGTGAGTGTTCAGTCATATGCTTTTGATGAATTGTCTTATTTGATATATAGGTATAAATTACAAACCTAGTATGTGAAATACTAATAATACAAAGACAAAGCAGTGATTTCTGAATTCAGATTCACTTTATTTCATTTGTAAACAGTATAAAACTATAATTGATGATCATCTCACGAACTTTACTTATTGCAAATTTGATGCCAGCTTTCTTGCCATTCCATATAATTCCATGCATGTGAAATGTCACCAGCATTCTGCTTTTCCTTGATTCCCAGATTTCTCTGGGTACTACTGATATTATTTATTGTAGTGGATGAAACACCTGAAATACCAAATCAAAATGTTGTTCTTAAACTGTTGGATTATTTGCTGACACACATTTTGGCTCGTTTTGAATCCAAGTGTAATTGCATCTCCTGTTTCAGATGTTTTTAACAGTTCATAATGTTCTCATCTTAAAATCATTAAATTATAAATACATCTATTTCA